CTACTACTACTACTCTACTACTCTACNCTCTCTCTATTGACTCTCATAATTTATTTAAGTTGTAGTAAAGGACAGCAGGGCATTTAAAACTAGGTGACAGATTCAAGATTAGATTGTTTGGTCAATAATTGACCAAACAATCTAATCTTGAATCTGTCACCTAGTTTTAAATGCCCTGCTGTCCTTTACTACAACTTAAATAAATTATGAGAGTCAATAGAGAGAGAGAGAGAGAGAGAGAGAGAGAGAGAGAGAGAGAGAGAGAGAGAGAGAGAGAGAGAGAGAGAGAGAGAGAGAGAGAGAGTGTGTGCGTGCGCGTTAGTTTTAAAGAGAGAGAGAGAGAATAAAGAATAAAAGGTGTTGGGCATCAGCATATCTACCTCTTCTTATGTCTGTAGTTAAAAAGTGTGTGAACTTAATTTATATTGCTATTTATCAAAACAAGGTCTGTAGCATCCTAAGAAGGACAGGGGGGAGGAGCTGTTACTGTATGTTGTGTTTGCAATTTAAGATTGATATACATGCGTATGATGTATGCTAATTAAGTTATGTGGCTACTTTGAATGACTCAAATAAAAATTATCGCAAGTAAACGTGGATATCGTTTTTTATTAATCCTCTATTTTGAATTTTGTCATAAGAAACAATACACAAGTCGGAAGTCCCTGTCATTTTTTGAAAACTTCAGGAAGCATCTTCTCATCTGATAAAGTGAAGCATTTTTCGCTGTTGGCTGCTACATAACTGTTGTTAGTATTTCATTGGTTCATAGTTCTTACATTTTGAAAATTCATTATCCTTTCCATTGTAAATAAAATAAATTGAAATTATTATTATTTTTTATAAAAACGGAACAAAACCTGTACCAACATCACAACAAGAAACATAAATATGTGCTGTATTAAAATACGCATTGCAAAAGGAATGATGCTGTGTTCTAACCCTAACCCTGATATTAACAATGAATAATCTTTGATCTAGTAACTGTAAGGCATGGAACAAATCTTAAATTAGCAGGCTAATTTGGCACTGTGTTAAATAATGTAGACACAGATGATGGAACAATTATAAGATTCAGTATTTTGTCTGTATTATTAATATCCTTTAGACCTTTTGCTGGCTCCTTATTCCACAACATGACAGGTGGATTTGTACCAGTGATGTTCTGCATCAGGTTCATTCTTTACCATCAACATAATGCCAAAAATTCACATTTGGCCTCAATTATAACGTTTAATTGAAAGGGGACCTATCATGCAAAATGCACTTTTGTACGTCTTTTATACACGAATATGTGTCCCCGGTGTGTCAGGGAACTCACCAAGTGTCAGAAAACACAACCCTCTCTCTTTTCCTCAATACCCAAATCTCTAAAAACGGGGCTGCAACGGAGCTGATTATTATTTGAATTTTTCTGACGTCAGAAAAGGGGTGCTCCGCCTATATGGGCAACTCTCCACCTATCAGGGGAATGAGAGACCGCTCGAAAGTGCTGGAGACGCTGTAGTACATATGCCGGGCCTGTAAGTAGCGCTGTAGTCTGCCACAAAAGCAGAATCAGCCCTTGCAAAAACAGGAAAAGAGCAAATAGAGCGAAATGAGGCATGGCTAAAATGCATGATCTGTTTGGTATTTTGAAAAACTTCACAGACATGTTTTATATAGGTATGGCCCTACAATATATTATTCAAATATAGCATGATAGGTCCACTTTAACAGAATCTTAATAAGTTTCGAATTACTGCTCTTACTGCTTGAAATATCAATATTGATATAGAAAACAAAGAAGTATGAATAAAGAACAAAAAAAATAGGATAAAAAATGTTTTGTTTAAAAGAATGACACAATTTACAAAATACACAGCCTGTAACAGTTCTGAAGATGTAGCAGCCATATTGCACAGTTATTCACGGAATATATAAATATATTGCACATATTGCACATGGTTGGTATTTAACAACAAGGGGTGTTATAGTCTGTGTTGGTGTGTGTGTGTGGGGGGGGNGATAATTGCTTCCGTTAGACTCTAAAGTAACAATTGAGGTCGAGAGCTCGTGTCCAAACCCTTTCGGGGTACTCGAAGAGCGACATCTCACTTTACCTTGGCGTGTGCCGATAAACAACAAAACAAATATAGTCCAGTCCCCAGGACAAGAAGAAGAGAGCCACCATAGTGTTCCGTCAGACAGAAGCCAACCAACGGGAGGAACACTTACTGCTTATGTGTAATGGGCGGCGGACGACCATTCTTCTCAATAACCGGTGCGTACGCGTCAAGCATGCACGATGACACACGGCAGCCGACTTCAGAACGCCACTACAAGGTCACGCTGACAAACTTAGTTCTGCGTCCTCCCTCCGCACTCACCTTGTGGTGTCAGCACAAGGCAGCCCTGCTACAAGAAACTCACAGTCAAAACCCAAACATCCGGTGAATTTTCTCGGACACTCTCTCCAAAAGGGGGTTAGTAGGTTTGTGGGTCAGTACAACTCATTTAGTCAACAGGGGAACGTTTTGGCAATGACTGTGACTAAAACCTATAAAAATGAAACTATTGGTAATTAGACGGAAGTACAACTGGTAGATAAGGACCTAGAAGAGCCCTAAGGAAGTTTAGGTCGGTTAACTACACACTGCAGTAACGCCCGGTTCGCGAGGGTCGGACGTGGCAAGTCGGCTAGGGGTCGTAGACGTACATTTGCGTACTACCGCGTGTGTTCGTCGTTCGAGTGTGTCGCTACTGGTCAAATTAAACACTTGCAACAGACTTCTCATTATTACTCCGACTTTCTAGCAAATACAAAAATAGACAAATCTTCAATCCTTAATCACGCAGTTATACACCCACCTAGTATGGGCAGGTTTACATCGGTCACCACCTGACCCTGAGTTTTTAAGTCGGCCCTGAGGAGAGCTGGCGGTGAAACATGGTCGATCATTTAACAGGTTTACCCACTCACCCCCTACACGATCACCTGAATAGCGCTGCCGGGTGGAAAGCCATGGGCCGGTAGCCCTTTAAACAGGGTCAGGCGGTGACGTTGGTCGGGTCGGGGTGCATTTGACAGGTTGCCCCCCTTCGGAGCGACGCCCCTCTTGCCACCTGGATCACAGGGCTAGCCTCACCCTTATTATTATTATCTAGTATTAGGCACGTAAAATAGGTAATTGAAAAAAGGGTTGTAACACCATTTATTTTGGTGTGGCAAATTAGGGTTACAGACCACATGATTGTTTATGTTTTTGTAGCCAAACAAAAAAAAACTAGTTCCTTGACGAGTTTGTTTGTAAAAATTAGTAGTAGGGAGTGCTAGTAAATTACGCGTTAGTATACAAGCGGCTTAAGCTGTACTTTTGTGTATTTACATCACATTAGGTGAACTCAAATGTTGATGTTTTTTATTAGCTAAACAAAAATATAGGTGTTAAGACTGGCCTGCCCTCCTTAAGTCGTCGAGAGTGATGGGGGCCAAAAAATTCAGGACTAAATTAGTAGTAGAGTGTGCTAGTAAATACAAAATACAAGCCGTTTAACTGTACTTTCGTGACTGTTTATACTTCTATATTGGGTCCCTCACTTCCATTTCGCTTCTAATGCACTGATTCGCTCAGCTGAACAGCCAATCAGAGTGATGTATTTGGCCGACGGCCTATAGCCAACAGCCTGTTGCGGAAGGTGTCGGTACTACCGAAAAGACACGACGGGGTGGGACACACCAATCTGAGTAGGGCGACAGGACGCTCATCGATGGCCAGACATCTATCGACATCTATCGACATCTATCACTGGCCGAAATCGGCTTGGTGTGTAAAGACCTTTAGACATTGCCAGGATTATGTTTGCTGATTCTAAAGTGTTCATTTAGATTTGGACGTGTACAACCTTTCAAGACAGTTCTCTTAAAAGACAAGATCCTTTGAAAGAAAGTATTGGGAAAACTTGTTTGAGCCCTTTAACATATGTTTGGATAAATTAGGCCGCAACACCTCAATAAAGCTCTGCAGTAACTGATTAGACATGCTCTCACCTTTCTCTCTTATGTAACCGCACACCTACACTGAGGCAAACATCGCTGCACTGTGAACTTTAAACATTCTCATGTTCGATCGGAAATATTCATCACATAATACCGTAGGGCACATCGGAAGGCGAGCGGGAAGGGAAAGGTGGATGTACGGGAGGGAGGAAGTATGGAAGCTCTGAGGGGATGTAGCAGAACAAAATGTGACAAATGTATGGCCTAGCAATACTTTGATCACTAAGTTCCCTCAGGGCTTCTGGAACTAGGCTATAGAGAAAGATGTTACAAAGCTGGAAGTGATAGTATATCGAAGCTACAAAAGAACGACAAAAGAGGATCAGAGAAACAAAAAGACGGCACGGCGGAATACGCCAGAGAGAACCGAGCCAGCAAGATGCGGTGGGTTGGCAGAGGAAGAGAGAGGAAGTGAGAGGGAGGGGAGAGAACGTGAGGATGACAGAGAGGAAAAAGAGGGAGCAATAGGAGCAGCTGGCACACAGGTGATGGCTCCTCCATCACTGTGTCTCCCCCCTCTGGTGGGAGGTCAGAGGAGCTGCTCCCCCCGCCCTGCCCCTCTCTCCTCTTGGCTCTTCATTGCTGTTATGTAATAAAGCTGGAAGAGGATTGGAGGCAGCAGAAATGAGCATGCTGAGGGAGATGTATTATCTATTTATTAGGCCATAAGGTGCTGTTAATGTAGCCCCTTGACTATGAATCACTTATTCTTTACAGTTCGCCAACCATTTCCCGAAGTACCGTCCTAGCAGCCATAGGTTTCCATTCATTCCATTATGGAATGCAGCTTTCTAACCCTAACCATTTTTTTTTAACAAAGAAGTCTCAATCTCTTACCTTCACCCATAACTTTAATGGGGGACTTATGCATCTAGAGTCTTTCTGTAATTAAACCCACTAAGTCTAAAGTTTGTTGTAATTCTAGCATATTTAAAATGGCATACATTGTTAATTGTAATGCTATGTAGAGTAATTGTAGGGTTCACATTATGGCTGTAATTTAATTAGTTTCTGACTTTAGGAACTCATTTGCATGAGTGGAAATGTTGTGTAATAATTATAAATTGCCTAACAAAACCCATAAAGTGTATTATGCTGTGGAAAATGTTAAACATGTCTTGAATGTCATGATTATTTCATATTTACAAAAAAAATGAAAAGGTCTGAGGACCCAGGGAACATCTGGATTTTCTTTGAATAATAATGAAATTCAGTTATAATATCGTTTTGTGTAGCAAACGTTACTTTGCGGCCTTTGACCTGTCAGGTTTTATTCAGACCTTTCCCCCTGTTGGGAATGACATTTCCAAGGTCCTGCAAACTTGTTTTCTCCACACAAATGAAATATTCAAGACCTAAAAAACCCCACAAACAATTGTTAACTTTTGTAAAAATACCATTGGTAATTCTTTTTTGGGAGTTTTGATTGAAAGTGCTTGTGACTGAGATATAAATGTCCACAACTGGTTCAAACCACAGAAACAGTAACAGAGGTGAGACAAAGACATAATTGGTGTTTGGAGGGTTTGTTCACTAACCA